GATACTACCATGATTACATGAGTGGTTATTGAAAAATAAATTACACTGTGCCAGGTACACAGGTCGAGTGAAACCACAATTCACGTGGAATCGCCAGCAATACTCCCAACTTAGGAATTTGGATATTTTCGATAGTTTCTCATCGAGGATGGCGGAGACACGACTCGTTATGCAAATTATCTTTCGATCGATTATATCCGAATACCCGGAAATCGGGACATCGGTCAGGCCGTTTCGGTTATATGAGTGGAAAGGACTGCGAAACAGGTCCTATTAAGACGTAACGCCTCATATGGGAAAGTAATGAGGTCGTACCTTGTGAACCCGATAGTGTATCCACGATATTTCTCAACCCCGTCAGCCTCACACAAGACGTAACAGAGCGTACACGAACTACCCCAAATGAAATTAATTTGTATTGATATAACTCGCAACACAATACCTGTCAGATTTTCCATTAAGAAATCATTCCCCGCCTACAGAATGGAACAATTAAAAGGCGATCCAGTTCTTTCAGTTCCTAGAGCTTTTAAAACTTTCCTACACTTTAAAAAGATGAAATTTATTAATATGTAAACAAACTGTTGAACTTGAAAAAAATACGGGTCGAGAACCTTCAGCGTATCAAACTTTACGAATCTATTTTACACCAACTTTTATTTCGGTTTGTTTTATTTATTTTTTATTGGACCGAGCATAGCTTTAAGTGTTCCACTTCCTCATCACAAAAAACATTGTTTTTAAAAATATCACATTGTCCGGATTATAAAATCTCACCTATCCGGTTTGTAAAATAGTTTTAAGAACTAACATAACTCCATGATCGTCCAGGTTTTTATCGCGCAAAATTCCGCCTTCTTATGACAAACAGAGGTATAACTGAGTTCAAAGTCCGCTTTAATATTTTTAGGATTAAAGTTTGTCAAGTTCCTAGGTTTCCGGTGAGAAATTTAAGTTGTGCTAACTTTATTTTAAAAATCCTTGCACATAGCGTAACCACATCTAAATAATAAAGTTGATCGCAGTAATCTTTATCCATGTATAATCAAATAACAATAAATGTAAACAGAAAAATTAACAGCCTGATAAATCATTCAAATATTTAAAACATTAGTGGATTTTTTATATTGGACAAGATAGATGATGATTGCCAAAAAAAATAGTTAGCTTTGATATTGTAAAATATTCACGTACAAATATTATGATCAAAGTGATAGCAAATTCAATCGAAACGCGTAAATTTCTTTTTTAACGGTCGTGGTTTAAAAACCATCAAATTGTGCAAAATTTTGTGAAGTTGAACATAGATGTAAAAAACCATAAAGGACACAATGGTCCAAATAATTTAGAAAAACTACTGAAGATAGCAAAAGCCAGAAACGAGCCTGACAGGCAAAAACAGCAAGAGCAGTTAGAACATAGTGACGAGCGGACACCGTCCAGCAACATCGAAAAAAGGAGACAGTTGCCCAAATAACAAACAGATCAACCACTGGAACTGGAAAAATTCCGGAACGGGTCTGACAGGTAAAACTGTAAAAATCTTAATGTTCCGTGGAGATCATCTTAACCAATCATCTAAACTTCAACAGGATACGATGTCTGAATAACAGCCACATCAATCACTGAAGCAGGGAAAATGCCAAAACGCGTCCGATAGGGAAAAACCGAAAAAATGGGCTGATCAAAATTTTTGACGGGGAACATTTACATAATCTAGAAACCTATGAAACACTGGTTGGCCAAAATAACTAAAGCTGGAAGAATGCTATAACTCGTTTGACATGAAAGACAGCAAAAATTGATTGACCAAAATGTACGATGGATCTAAACTTCAAAAAGGACACGATGTCTAAAATAACACACAGTCCAAACACTGAAGCTGAGAAAGGCAGCATGCGTCTTAAAGGCAAAAACACCGAATGTACGTAGACATCAAAATTAATAAAGATCATTTACATAATTAATAAAGAACACATTGATCAAAATAACGCACAATACAACACTAGAGCAGGAAAACTGCCAAAATACATCTGGTAGGTAAAAAGTGCAAATTGATCGGTGAAGACATTTTATACCGTTTTGAAACATATAAAAGGACACCGTGGCCATTAGTATACACAGTTCAAACACTGAAACAGCAAAAAATGCCAAAATAAGTCTGATAAGTAAAATGAAAAGAATAAGTAGATGTAAATGACCATTAGAGGTCATTTTTATCATTTAGAAACATAAAAATACCCAATGACCAAAATCACATACAGACAATTACTTAATAACATATAAAACAGCGAGACTCGGTATGTTTGAGACAACCATTTATAGTCACTTAGTCCAATCCGTAATTTGCTCCAATGCCTAGTCATTTATTCAAATTTCAAATAACTGATGATGTGACTAGACCCTTTTTGATTGAGATTGAGATTTCATCAAGAGTCTAGGTACTTCATGAAGTTTCAACATGGCATTAGGCAGTTAGTCAAAAATCAAATAAATGTAATTAAAAAATGAATTTATTTATTTCATATAGTCAAGGCATAATACTATTGGTTCATTGGTACTATCGTAGCATTTCGAAGAATTTTTTTTTCTTATAACAAAACTAGCGGTTACTTTTAAATGTTTTGTCCAAAGATATAAAATTACATTTAGCAAAGCCCTGATAGTTAAACAAAGATAATAAGAAACTGCTTCCTGCAGTGAATGAGCATTTTCCATTGAGACCTCAACAGCTTCGATTTCTGATTTCACCAATACCAATACTGAAACGGTAGTTCTTGATTTTTGATATTGGAGTGGAAACAATTACAGAAAACCGACAAAAGGACAAAAGAAAAGGTTTACAGCTATAGTGTTTAACCAGCTAACTAAACTTGTTTTAATTGTTGTACCTTGTTTAATTAAAGGGCTTGGCGTTTAATTCAGGGTCTAGGCATTTGAGCATGTTTAGTCATATATACAAATCATTGTATTTTAACAATCTGCCTAGTCATTTCATTAAATAACTAAACTTGACTATCCGCCTGCAACATATACTTTACAGGATAATTGGCTTGGCAAAATATCACTCAGACAAACCACTGAATGGTAGCGAAAATCCGAAAAGCGATTACCAGACACAGCCATCGAAATAGATCAGCTATCGAACACCTATTAGGAAATATGTATCTTCACACCCTGACTATAAGTTTCGCTTTATTGCCTTTTGTTTGTCTTTATTTGTATTTTTTTTAATCAGAAACCTCGTTGCATCTTGTTCTAGTAAAAATTAAGACAATATTATGGATGTAAAATCTCTCTAAAAATGTTTGTATTAAGTAGTACTAGGTCTTGGTTTTAAGATGTAACAGTGATTGTTTTGTTTTTATAAACGACAGTGTGATTGAGTGATTGATATTTGTAAATTCACGGTGACGTTCGAGAGGAGACTTGCAGGCCTTTTTCTATGAGCTTGATGTAGATATAAAAGAACACTTGAAAGGTACGTGAATGGCATCTGAACGAGTACTTGACTTCAAAGAAGTTTTTCTCTAGGATCTTTTTTCTCTCTCGTCGGTACTTCATGGTAACAATCGAGGGCCAGTTTCGCACGTTGTTACGTATTGGTCATCTCCGAAAGGAGAACGGCATGGCCAGCAAAGTCCCTTGGACGTCGATAGCTAACCGTTATCGGGAGACCGTTCTCTTATTTCCCGATTTGCCGTCTCGCCCCTTCTTTTATTTACGCCTTCTGTCCGTGTACCGCTAAAGTACGTTAACGGTATGCCCTCCTTGCCCTATCATCGTTTTCCACTCATCCGTAGGGCCATCTTTTCACGAGATCCCCTGGATGAACTGGGTCACCGGGCGTCTGGACGAAAGTACGTACGGTCCTTTGCAAAGACAGTTTCGTTCATTGTATTCTTGAGGGGACGTCGTTCTGATTAATGTGACATCTTTGATGAAGAACTTAAAGAAAGTTTTATTTAAAATAAACCAGTTCATCACACGATTACTGCAAAGTCCGTTTAGCTACAAAAAGCAGATGCTTATAATTTTATCCTTTAATATTTGTTTACATTTTATTTGTAATACAAACAATAACGTCAATAACACAAAAAATTAGCTGAAACAAGTCTGACTTCTGGGGTTGCACTGACCAATTTTTGACCATGAAGTTCAACCCTTTTTTTCAAGAAAGAACTTACTTGCTTATTTGGCATCTATCATAAAATGGAAGGGTTGAACATTTTGAATTTTTAACAATCACGCGAAAATCCGATTGTATATTCTCCAGAATGACTCAACAATCCTTCAAGAAACTTATAATTTCAGTAGATTTATATGATTATAAATCATATATAAATAAATATATTATAAGGTAAATCTTATAAATAAGAAACCAAAATATTTTTAAATTAATTTTACAGTTTACCATTTATCATGATTGTGCGATAAAACCAATGTGATAATTATTATTTCAGGTATTTTTAAATACTTTAACATCATGCTTATGTTTCGAAGTTTTGTGAGAACATTTTTTTTAACCGATTTTGAGTCATTACCACATCTATTAAAAATCCATTATCCAACGGTTTTTCACTGAGTTTAGGGGAAAACTGTCATGATGTTAAGAGAAATTTTTGGAATTCTTGCTCTAATCCAGCTTTGCTACAGTGACAATAAAATTATGAAACGTATGCTGTAGAGATACAAAACTTAAATTTCAGTCAAATTTTTCTGATTTGGTAGGAATTCGCTTTATTACACAGGCATATCAAATTATTATGTGAGAACCATTTATGAAGTAGCTAAAGCTATTAACGAAGTAGATTTAAAAAATATTCGGATAAGATATTAAATTTAAAATATGTCCATAATATTAAATGGGTTGTCAACGCTGTTTCAAAACATTTTTTTTAAAAAGATTCTTGCTTTATTTTTAAATAATAGAAATATAAGAAATGATGGTATGATGGTTCAAATGCCAGCAGTTGAAATGAGAAATCTGAAAGACTCACCGGTTTCTCAGTTCTGTCAAGTTCGCCGATATAAGCCAATGGGACTTCGCGTAAGGGGGGAGATGGAAGGATGTGCACACAAGGAAGTCACTGCACTTTGTGAGGGTTGCGCTCCAAAGACGAAGTATATATAGAAGAGGTGACGTCAGGTAACGGGTCGTCCCCCTCCGGCAGCAGTGATTCAACCACCTCGCCAGGACGAAAATCTTCGTACTATTTTTTTTGTAGATTTTTTTTTTGTTAATTTTGTTATAAGGAAAAGGGCAAAATTACGGTTTTGGGGGATGACGCCGGTTTGCGGGAGAGGGGGCTTTTCTCGACTTCCCTGTTTATACTTTACGTACTTCGCTATGTCGGCCGATTTTTTGAAACATTGGATAGAACAGGTTCTCTCTTAATATTTTTGCTTTTTTGAACCGCTAACGCAAATGATTTAAAACAGAGAGTTTCTTTAAAAAACCATGAATTGTTAATTTTTTACAATAAGATTTTTTCTCGATCGAGAAATTTTATGATTGAATGAGACAAAATATTATCTATAACAATAAAAAGGTATAATGAAACGCTCATCAAGAATATTAAGCATATGTTAAATGATCAACTCTGATCTAATTTTGATAGAAACCTTTCTCGAGGAAATAAAGATGGATTTTCTTACGCTTCACTGAATGTTAAACAGTATTTAAAACAATAGAAAAATATAATCTATAATAAAACATTCTCAATTTACGTATATTATGATGAAATGAATAATTCTGAGCGATGAAACTTCGGGAAAAAAATTCTCCAGCAGAAAAACGAATATGTTTTTAATTTAGTTTGAATATTGAATGAGAAAAAAAAATTACATATAATAAATACAAAAGTAAAATTTATAAATAGAAGAAATTTAAATGATCAGAAATATGATAATTAGAGCTGTTAAATCTATGAACAATTTTTCTCGATGAAAAAGTTTAAAAAAAAATGATTACCTCTTTTTGAAATATGAATGGAATAAAACATTATGTGTAATATTATAGAAGTAGAATCTCCATTAAAAATACGTTATATTTATCGCGAGAGTGTTCATACGATCACGATTAGAATGATAAATGTTGAAAAAGCCTTTTTTCCAGTAAAAAAAATTATTTCTGAACCTCATATAAAAACTGAATTAAAATAAATATTAAATACAACAATATAATAGTTTACTATTTAATTATTATTCAGATTATATATAAAAATATCGCTGAGGTATCAAATGAATTCAATGAAAGGATAAATTGAAATAGACCTTTCTAGAGCGGAGAAAAAAAGGACGTTTTTGCACCTCACTTAAAATCTGAATAATATAAAAAATTAATAAAAATATTTTAATAGTATAAATTTATAATAATTTTTTTTTCAAATTATCAGGATTTTATGTAAAAGAAATAACTCTGAAATATCAAACATTGAAATAAACCTTTCATGAGCATAATAAAAAGTTTTGGCACCTCATTTCAAAATTGGATGCTATGAATATTAAAACAATAGAGTAAAGTTATACTAAATAGATTGTCATATGACCTGGGATATGGTTAAAAGTTCGGCAATCAAACTTTACAAACAAAAACTTTCATGAGTACAATAAAACTCCTGTTTTTGCACCTCGTTCGAAAATTGAATGAGAATAAAATAGTTTGATATTTTAAAATTTTATGTGGAAAGCTAACTACGTAAGACAATAGAATAATGTTTATGAAAAATATCTTCAAATAATCAATAATACACCCTGAGGTCATCGAAATACAGGATAAAATAAGAGCTTTCTTCAAAGGCGAAAAGGATTTGCACCTCGATATGAGTAATTAAAGAGACATAACTATATGTATAGTAATAATAAAGTATAATGTTTAATAAATGTATATTAACATTATCTGGATTATATTCATTGATCTGTCTAATCTGGGAGGAAACATTTCTCAATTTGTCTGTTTTTACAACTCATTTAAAGTTTGATAGAATAAAATAATACATATTAATATATAATAGAATGTATTGTAATAAAAAAAGGCCAAAATAACACTCAGATCAAGCATATTTAAATACCCGAGCGTGTTTACGAGAGAAAAAACACGGCAAAAATAGGATGATTTAAATTTTCAGTGGATAATATATATATAATTTAAAAATAGGTAAAAAGAATCGATGGCCAAAATAACACACAGATCAAACACTGAAGCTGAGTAAGACAACATGAGTGTAACAAGCAAAACCAATGAATGTAGGTAGATCGAGATCGTAGGAGAGCAGTCACATAATTGAGGAACATATAAAAGAATGCAATAGCCAAAATAACACACTGAGGCCGGAAAATTTCGGAAACGCATTTGACAGTCAAAAACAGGAAGAGTAAGACGTTCAAAGTGACAAAGCAAAATACAGCTCAAATATTTAATGTGAAAAATTCCAATTCGCGACATGCCAAAGCAACGAGAGTGGTAGATCAAAATAATCGTTGGAAAATTTCAGAAACACTGAAGCTGAAAAAGTGTCAAAACGCGTCAGACAAACAAAATAATAAGAATGGGTAGATTACAATTATTGGCGTAGACTATTTTATCATTTAGAAAAATTTAAAAGGTAAAAGGTTGCCAAGGTAACACACAGACCAATTACTAAAGCTGGAAAAATGGCGAAATGAAATCCTTACGGGACAAGGGATGTACATTGAGCGACTGGATCCGCAATGAAGCCAACCGAGAGGGGTATGGAGCATATTTTGATGATAGGGAAAAAGAGGAAAAGAAAGACGGCTTTCCCACATCGAGCTAATGAACAAATTCCGACTGGTTAAACGTGTGATCCAACATCACTGTAACGATCATCGAGATAGACGTAGGAGGATCACTTAAGTGAAGAAGAAGTAATAGAAAAGTATAACATATAAAAAGATCTCAAAATTATCGAGAATATGTTCAAAAATCATCATAACACGGAGCTATCAAGCACGTAGCAAAAACCTTTTCTCTAGGACAAAAATAAGGATTTTTTTTACAACTAACATTTGAAGATCGAAAGATATATAATAATATGTATGATGATAATAAAGTAATACGTACAATAAAAATATCTTCAAATCACGATTGAATTGATCCACGGAAAACATATTCAAAAGTTTTCATAACTTAATTAGTTTGAATGGTGTAAACGATCTACGAGAACAGTTGTTAAGTTTTATGAGATGTTTAGTGTTACATTTGTGTTTGTATATTTGTAAGGTTTCAAGTATGATCAATTTTTCATTCACTTTGTACTGTTGAAGACTCGGGGCTATCGATCATGGCACACATGTCTCACGAGGACAAAATTTTTTTTTTTCACAGATATTTGATGGAAAATTAAATATGATAAACAATGAGAACTGTTGTTAAGTGTTTATGAGTTTTTTTAGTGTTACATTTGTGTTTGTATATTTGTAAGTTTTCAAGTATTATCAATTTTTCATTCACTTTGTACTGCTGAAGGCTTGGGGATATCGATCGTGGCACAAAAACCTCTCACGAGGACAAAAAGTTGTTGTTTTTTCACAGATATTTGATGGAAAATTAAATATGATAAACAATGAGAACTGTTGTTAAGTGTTTATGAGGTTTTTTAATGTTACATTTGTAAGTTTTCAAGTATGATCATTGCGTATATGATTGTCCATTGGTAATAAAAGGTGAAAGTCAGATGGGGCCAAGTCCGTAGAGTAGGAGGGTAGGACTTCATAACTAAGCTTCAGATCTTTGTCGTTCTGGCTGTTTGAGGTCCTTTGTTGACCTGGTGAAAAATTATATGTTAACGAGAGCAGGTTGTTTCTGGGCCAGAGAAACAGATACTCGTTGCAGTTGGCTTCAGTTGATTTGTAAGGTGTTGGACTGACCAGGTGGCAGGAGTTCGTAGTGCTGCCTGCCCTACTCCACTACACACAAAGCATCACCTTTTGTTTCTGAATATTTCATTTTTACGTCATTGTGACATTTGGGTCATTTTGTGACAGTCCATTGGCCGACCTCAGGCTGTTACTCTATAGGATCTACTTTTCGTCGGATGTGGCAACCGGGTCAAAAAGTTTCTACTTTGTGCAGTGAAAGAATGAAAGACAAATCTTAGCCCTTGAAGCTTGTTCCTGTCGGCCAATTTGTGAGGAATACATTTGCTGAGCTTCCACGTCCTCCCAAGTCGATGTAAGCTAGAGCGCATGAATTCATCGCTTTCGTCGAACACTCTGGCAAGCTCCTGATTTGGTTGACTCGAATCAAGTTCAGTAGCTTCCGTCAATTCGGTCATTCAAGACAGAAGGTCTACCAGGCTTCAGGTTCATCTTCACTCCCCTTGTTCTCAGAAACAAACTTTTGAACCACTTTTGGTCGTACGCTCACTTATCGTTCCATCACCGACCGCAGTGCAAATTTTACGAGCTCGGCTGCTCTAGTACCGAGCTTAAATTCATACAAAAAGTAGGCATGAATTATGGTTTTTGAAAGCCATGTTAAAAAAAATTTCATAATTGTCATTGGACTGTTTAAGACACTTTTTCTTTATGAACTGACTCATTACCTTCTTGGTAATGAAATGATGTAAACACCTAATCCTTCTATGTAAATAGAAATGTTGATTTAGAACAGTAACAAATGAAAAACCGCTCGAACTTTTTCTATCGTTTCAAATGTTTGGAAGTTCCACAAATGACACCCATAACATAGTATAGAGCGGCATATTGCATTACATACCTTAAACTTTACCTTAATACGCACAATTTCCTGCAAGATAAGTTTACTTCCAGGTTTTATTTAGTACAAATATGCAATAGTTGCAGAATATTCTGATTGTGTGATTGTCATTTGAATATTTATATTCATTCACTACATTAATTCTCTCACCTTTAAAAAAATCTGACAAACACAACTTACCCTCTCTCCTAAATACCATTATCTTTGAATTCTGGAGGTTTACTTTCAAATTCCATTGCTTGCAGTAAGTCTCCAAGATGTAAATATTCTTCTGGAGACTTGTGTCACTGCCATCGTAACATTGTCATCTGTATATATTAAAATTTTAATGATAATATCCACAAC